GGGGGGGGGTTCCGGGGGTGGGGGGATGTCCCCCAAGCCCCACCCCCAAGAGCGACCATTTGCCTGGCCACCCCTCTCCATCCCTTCCCCACCCTTTAAAGGGTCTTTTAGCAAGCCGAACGTGCGGCCTGCAACTGCCCCTCTCCCTCCCTTCTGCTAGATTTAAAGAGCCCTCCAGCTATTCAGTGGCCAGCTAGCTGGGGGCGGACTGACACCCCAGATGCAAGGGAACCCCCGCCTGGACCTGGGGGCTGGCAACCCGACCTCCCATGCAACCCGTGGTCATGGCAGATAGGCACTGGAGGCTCATACACACCTTTCTGGCTTTCTGAGGCTAAGGTTCACCACATGTGAGGCTAAGGTTCACCACATGTAAGGTTCACCAAGAGCGTGCACTACAATACACTGAAAACTCTCCTGTGGCCACGCATGGGGAGACTGATAGTGTTCCTTTTAGAAAAGCATGTTCCTGATTTAATGGTTAGTGGAATCAACTAATAAGCTTTCAAGGAATCCCAGAATTTCTTCATAACAGCTAGTCAACCATCACCCTAGACACTACAAACACAGGGCCTAACGTAGCAGTTGCTCTGTGTGTGTGTATTTTAAGAAGGAATTTTCTTTGAAGCGATAAAAATGTCCCTACGTAAAACACAGTACAAGTCATATCATACTTTGACATCTAAAGGGAGAAGGAGAAATTTCTGCTCAGTAGGAAACTGCTAGGAGTTACTATTAATAGTCTCCCCTTTCTTGAATAATGAATCACAACAGATAGCAAGTGTGAGAGAATTCAGGAAGGGAAGGAAAAAAAGACTAGGACATTAACCCTGCTATTATTAATTCCAATCCTAGGCTACAGTAAAGTCAGTTTTACAGGTTGGATCTGATTTTATTCTAAAATAATCAGTGTTCAGTGTTAAACTAAATCATTGGCTTCCCCCTCCCCCATTAGCAAACTAAAAAACCCACCTCCAGATTTCATTATCTGCCTAACTAATTATAACAAGACAGATCATCCTGGAGCAAAGAGCAGTTGACAGTTACGTAGCGATGTTTCCTTCTCACCAGCACATGATCTACGGACAACTGAGTAAGCCAGAGGAGTGTATGGTATGGGTAGAGAAGGAACCCTTCTGAGGCACCGTCCTACTTAGGAGCTTCAGGCACACTCAGAAGATAGTTTCAGAGGGTAGCCCCTTTGGTCTGCAGTACAATAGCTAGATTTGAGTCCAATAACACCTTGGAGGTCAACAAGATTTTGGGGGCATAAGTTTTCAAGAGTCAAAGCTTCCTTTGTCAGATACGCACTCTGGGTGGAACTGTTGACTGCAACAGAGCAAGAAGTGAAAAGGCTTCCTAACATACAGCTGCAGTTATTCAGGCATAAGGAAGTGTTTCGAAAATGAGACTCCTTTAACCTGAATGACCTATCTAGGTTGCTGATGTGACCTTGGGTCAGTCACAAGCTCTGGCACAGCTGTCCTTGAAAAAGAGCAGTTTGTGTCAGAGTTCTCTCAGCCCCACCCACCTCACAGGGTGTCTGTTGTGGGGAGGGGGAGGGAAAGGAGTTTGTAAGCCGCTCTGAGACTCCAAGTGAAGGGCGGGGTATAAATCCAATCTCTTCTTCTTCTAGGTTACTTTTAACTCGAACAACCAATCTAAATACCTGATGAAGGGAGTGTTAACTTTTAAAAGCTTATACCCCAAAAACCTTGCTGGTCTCTCAGGTGCTATTGGATTTGAATCCAGCTACTCAGAAGATAGTTAAACTTCTAGAGAGTTATTTCTGTAAGTTTGCACAGGACAACAAAGGATGATATTGGTAACTACAATTGTTAGTGGCTGAATCTTTTTACAAACAAATAAACATTTTTTTACAAACCCTTCACCTTTTGGGGTGCAATAATGGAGACTTATTTCAGTGCTCTACTTTTTATGCATTAGACAACATGGATATGCACAGGCCTCTTTCTCTCCAGTCACTAAAAAGCTGATTCAGTCTTTCATCAGAAAGGGGCAAATTTGCTGTTGAAAGACTACAGGAACAAATTTCACTGATATAACAGAGTTAAAAGATAATGGGACTACATTCAAGTATAGCTTAGTTCCCAACGAATTTCAATAATATTCCTTAGTATTTATACAGCTCTTTTTACAAGGGCACAAAGCACTTCACTTTTATTACTGCTGTAATCCTTACAATCACCAGACAAGCTATGGGAATGACAACACTGGCCTGTTACAGATGAACAGGCTGAGGCTGCACAAGGTCACCCAGGGAGTTAACAGGGGAATTGAGATTAGAACTAGAGACCCAGCCCTTGGGCCATACTCTTGAACATTGCACTGCACCAACTTGTTCAGTGCAAAGGCTGAACAGGCAAAGACAGAAACAGGGCATAATCCAAAGAACTATGCAGCTAGCTCTATATGCCTAAGAGATAGGAGTCCTCTCAGACACACGGCAATGGCAAGCCTTTTTTCAAATGGGTAGGAGTTTCAGAAGCAGTCTGTAATACGGCACAGGATCATATAAGCAGACTAAGTGAAGAGAAATGCAAAGATGCATTAAGCAGGT